TGTATCAACCCTGACAGACTGTTCATAGTGTTTTGTAATCAAGAAAAATATGAACAAATGTAAAGGTGCGATATTAAATAATAACCACAGAAAACCGACATTAGTACCTTCTGTGGTGCCAATTTTGTAGCTACCTCACATGGCTTGTGACATGCTAAAGTGCTGGAAGCATCCATTAAAAGCACAGTGTGACACTAATTGTCCCCTTAGGAGCAGCTTGCTCTCTAGTCAGTTGCAGATGACAGTAAAATAATCTCTCACTGTCTTTTGTATTTTATACTGGCTATAACACACACACAAAATATGTCACCAGACTGCTTGTTACCATTTTGCCTTCAGATGCATAGCAGGCCATTAGTAGTAACATTTTGGGGAAACAAAAGGGTTGGTACCTCTAACTTCAGTATTGTTGAAGAGTCAATTCTATTTCCTCAATTGATCAACCCTATAGTACACCAAAGTAGTCTTGTAATTGCTAGTCCATGTCAGTGTAAGAGACAGTTTTGCAGAGATCAATAGACTCATGATGCCTAGCAATGCGTTGTTGATCATCAAAGGACTATGGTTCCATCAGGTCACACAACCTAGTGATGTGGTAGCCATCTTATATTGCATACTTTCTCATATTGTGTACAATGGTGAAGTTGCCTAGTGAGTATTTCTAATGGAATGCTATCGTTAAGTGAGGTATTGCTATACTTACAGAAATAACTCCAAAGTGAGTAGCAATGGTAGGTGAGGGTACAGGTTGCAGAAAATGGGAAAATGGATAAGTAACCTTAGCCAGATGAGGAGGTATGGTGCCTGTCTCAGAATAGATCAGTTATACTCCTGGCTAGCAGAGGGTCCCTTTCTGCAGGCCAGTGATATGTGGCAAGTCTGTTGTGAAGGAAGGGTGAGGAGATGGGTGGGTATTAGCCTCCACCGTGGAGGGTGAGTGTGGGCCTGAACTCCCACCTAAAGCATTGCAGCTGCTGGAGTACCAACAGGAGGTGGTTTTCTAGTCCCAGTGGCTGCTCAGCCTCCATCTTAACCTGGTCAGCTACATCTTATTGGATGGGACCATCTGGAACTCGAAATGGAGTCAGCAATGAGTACCTGTGAAGATTTCAAGAGCCCAAACATCTGCTTGGCTCTTTGTTGAGAATGCTACCATGGAAGAAGACAAGTCAATATCTCAAGATACTCAGTTAATCAAAACATTACTGATCCAGGATTCTGAGACAGAGGCCTGGACATCTCCAGGGGGTTATCTTAAACATATTGGGGGAGGCCCGTATGGACATGTGACCATAATGAGATGGTTAGAGATAAAGGTGTTCAGCTATGCTCTTCTCAGCAGACCAGGATTATCAGGCACAGTGTGGATATGCACAGCTATAGGACTGTAGCATGGTGATGTCCCCTGGATGATTCTCAGGGTGGAGGCAAGCGGACTTTGAAAAGTAACAGCAGCAGTCACACTCTGATAAACTATACGTCTACATGTGATATGGCATGTTATGTCACCAGTATCTCACTTCCACTGGCAATGAGGTTTTCATAGCACCCAAGGTCAAAGGCAAGCAACTCAAGCCAGAAATAGACCTCTAGGAACCTTTTCCCTGGGACCCTCCCAGGTATATCTGTCCTGGTTAGACTCTGACTAGGAAACAGACTACTCTGGTATCCCAAGCAGAAATGATTCAGCTGGAAGTTTGCTATAATGTTTAAGGTCCATCTCAGGAGAGAGGGAGGGCACTTCAGGTTTGTAGCTCAGCTTCCTGTCTTGTCTCTGCTTTCTGATCTGGATGCAAGCAAGCAGCTTCTGCCAACATGAGCTGTATCTGTCAACATGTCTTTCCCCCATGATGGACCGTCCTCCCTCGAACTGTGAGCTAAAATAAAACCTCCTCTCCCTGAAGTTGCTTCTTGTAGGTGTTTTACCACAGCAATGAGAGAGTAACTAACATACCACAGTCTCTGGTGTTACAACTCCCCAAAGGGGATTCAGAGGCTGACATCCAGCCTCCTGTGGCTGCACAAACAGCCACCACCATGGAGGAGTCCGTCACTGTTGCCATACAAGATGCTCTCAGAAATCTGAAGAGTCACTGCTCCCCATCCCCTTCCAGTGCTGCGTTCCCACTGGTAAACTCAACAGGAAGTCATCTGGGGGCCACACTACAGGGCACAGGAAGGGAGAAGTGGGGGAAATTTAATGAAGTTTTGTAAACTACTCTTATTAAAAACAAGCCCCCACCCCCGCTGTTTGGTGATTTATAGTCGTAGGGGAAAGACATGGTTGAGTAGGGGAAACATTGTTCATTTCATTTAAAAGAACTGTTCTGTACGTACAACAAAGGATTTTTATCTGGAAGATACAAAAGTATCCTAAAAATGATTTGTAAAATATTAGAGTGCCTGGATAAGTAAGCAAAAAGACAAAACAACCAAATCCAAGCAGACCCTATGGCAGTATGGATAAAGGGCTTGCCACCCAAGCATGAGGACCAAATGT